TGCTGGATGGCTAAGACCAAGATAAAGAAAGACCTATATAACAAGAAATGTAACTTTTGTATCTGACAAGGTAAGTCACATCCCCTCAGGATTTATCCTGAAACTCTGTACCATAGTTTTTAGATCCTTTGTCAGTGTCAGCCATGTGGATGAGTCATGGTCATTGCTTGACCAATTTGCTTTGTGTGAAAGTCTGAGAGAATGTTTTTCTCTCCATGTGACTCTCCTTAGGCACACTCTACATCATCGATCACTTTTCGCTGTGGCCCCATAATCTCCTTGATCAGAAAATTTGGGCCACAACTGAGTTGCATAATGTTACAGTACAGGTTCTCTTATATCCTGAGTCCTCACTGACCTTGAAAGGCTAGGGCCAAAATGTTGGCTGTCCTTGCAGCCCTTCTTTTTCTCTAATTTTTGGTCCTGTGCCTCTTCTTAGAGATGTCAGAAACAACTGAGCCAGGCTGGCAAGATAGCTCAGGGGACTAAGTGCTTGTTTTGGCAAGAGCAGGGACCAGGGCTCAGTTCCTGGTCCTGCATGCTGCTCTGGTCTTGCTCCTGGGGCGTGCTGAGCTGGGGACAGAGTCTAGGCATGGTGGCGCATGTGCACACCTGTAATCCCAGCTCAGGAGAGGCTGAAAACAGGAGGATCACTATGAGTCTGAGCTGTGTAGTGAGACCCTGTACCAAATACATAAAATGAAAAAAAAGAAAGAAATAACTGAGCCATCTTCAGAATCATGGCCCAGTACAGCCTTTCCTCTAGGTCTGGGCACATTCTTATACTATCTGGAGGTGCATCTGCTCCTTCTCAGACTGTGCGTCTTCCTCTCTCATAGGCTGGTGGGTTTCATGAGAACTTCTTCTACATCTGGCAGACTTTTTCTGTAATTACTGAGTAGTCCAAGGCAACTTGCTGAACTTCTCTGAATCTGAATTTTCTTGAACAAAAAATGGACACAACCTTATGTATCTAGCAGTTATGAGGTGAACTTAACTAGCATATGTTCCAGTCCCTTTTTCTTTAGTATAGCACAACAAATCACTCAACATAAACCTATTTTCCAAATGATTTTTTGCTCATGTAATTTGGCATTTTATTATATAACATTATTATGGATGCAAGTACATATATAATATTGCATTTATACTAATTGTTTTGCCTAAATAGTTCCTTTATGTAACAAATTCATCATTCTCTGTGGTCTTTGTCTCTTCCCACTTAGCACAGGCTGAGCTCACAGAAATGTCCAGTGAATCCTTATTGAGATCTGGATGTCTGTATATAGCTCAAATGGTAATTATAAAATTATTTTATTCTTTTATTTCAAAGTAAAAGAATGTGAAATGTGTCTAGCACAACTCTTGGGACATAGTAAGTATTTGATAAAGTTTATTTTGAAATCCCATTTACGCTTTTTTTGTATGTATTCGGTATAGGGTCTCACTATGCAGCTCAGACTCCTGCGATCCTCCTGTTTCAGCCTCCCCAGAACTGGGATTATGTGCACCACCACAGGTCTTGGTGGCAGGCTAGCCCTGGGTAGGGCTAGCACAGTATGTGGTACTGGGAATCAAACTTGGGTCCTTGTGCTTGCCTAGACAGGCACTTAGACCATCGAGGTACATCTGTGCTCCTGAAATCCCATTTATTTATTTATTTTTAATTTTATCTACTTATTTTTTTGCAGAACCAGGTATAGAACTCAGGCCCTTGCGCTTGCCAGGGAAGTGCTTATGACACTGAGCCATCTCCTCGGCCCCTAAATCCCATTTTTTATGTGTGCAACACACACCCAATAACTCTTTCTAGGATTTCTTTTTAATGCTAAATGTGAGGATGAAGGAAAAGGTATGGTAGAACTTGTGACTGAAGTTCACTTATGAACTTATGACTGAACCTTGTCATAGCTTCTATTCTAGAACATCACGTATATGCTTACAGTATCTTTTTTTTTTTTTTTTTTTTTTTTTGCAGTACCTGGGACCAACTCATGATCTTGCATTTTCCAGGCAGATGCTTATGCTGCTGAGCTATCTCCCTGGCTCAGATGGTATCATTTTTGGTGACAGTCAAAATCGCCCCCTTTGGAGAATCATTCTACATCTATAACTCGAGTAACACTACTCTACTTGTCAGAATCCTTGCCTCAACCTGTGAGGGAATCAAGTAAGAAATTACACTTCCAAGGTCCTCCCCAGAGCAGTTTAGCTTGGGCCATCCAAATACACTGTCCTACTTGCCTAGCTACAGGAGACCTCAGACTTCCTGCTCTTGATTGCCTCTGGCACCCCATCCAGTTTATGCTTTATTCTTTACCTGCAAGGCATTTACTCTCTCTCCAGAGTAGTGGGTCTGCCAATCTGCAGAGGAAAATGGCCTTGTCCTGTTATCATCAATGATCTAGGAATTGATAATTGGCTTAGCCTCCCCTCTGGCAGCCCAATGATTTAGGAATTCATATTCTATTAAAGTCCCCACTTTCAGACCATCTTCTAACCAAGACTTTAAGGTTTATTTTACTTTTATTTTTTGCATTAGAGTTTTGAGACAAGGCCTCACTATGTGGTTCAGGCTGGTCTTGAACTCACCGTATTGCCCAAACAGCCCTTTAATAGATGGAATCTTCCTCTCTCAGTTTAAGAGTGCTGGACTAAAGGCATGTGCTGCAATGTCCAGCTGCTTGATGGGTTCTTTCACTGGCTTTTTCCTGGCTAGAGGCAATAAGGTACCTTATTTTTTAGTGTAGCTAGGACGTAGGAGCTAAGGGACAGTGTGGGGACAATCTCTGTTTTGGAAAAGAAATCTTGCATGGACCAGGCTTTCTGCTGGTTTCATAGGTAGAATTCTGTTCCAGCCATGCTAAGTATAGGCAGGAAGGAGAAAGGTTTTGCACTGTGTTGTGCTCAAGCTTCCATATTCCAGATGCTGTTCGCAGAGCTTGCATCCTCACTCGTCCTCGCCACAGCCTATGAGGTAGCTATTATTATCTCCACCTTCATCCAGAGACACTGACCTGCATGGAAGTGGACACGCCCAATGTCACACAGCTATGCACAGGGCCAGGGTTCAAACCCAGGCCAGCTGACTCAGAAACTTCTGTGATGCTGCATAGAAAAAAGAGGAAAATTGGCTAAAGAATCAAGAATCCTGAGGGTTTTTTTTTTACTTGTGCTCTTGCCTCAGTGACATAGGAAAAGTGGCTCTGTGTTCTCTCTCCTCATGCTGATTTTAAGCTTATTAACCTATGGAAAGTACACCTCATTCAAGAAAAAGGCTTGCAGAATTTTGGAATGTTTGTGATTAGTGTTGTATGAGAAAGGCTTGTTTCCAGTGACAACGGGGAACAACAACAAAAAGCCAGGCCCAGTGTGGCTACTGCACGTTTCTTACTCCTAGGAGACAAGCAGGCCTGACTCTGTAACCATCTCCGTGTTGCTCCAGCTGATCTCTGAGGCTTTCTCTCAGCTGTCACAGTCTGTGGGCTCCAAGTCACCGGTTCGCCTGTTCTCAGTCCACTCATACTCACCTCCATTGTTGATATTTATTGCACCCTGGCTGGGCCTGTGGCTAAAGGCTTAAACTGAGGAGCTGGAAGAGAAAGACTGAGGAGGGGACTTGAGGAGAGGTGTACCCCAGTTCCTGAATTTGCTGAATTTAGTGACATGTAATCTAACAAAAGATGACTTTATTCCTTCAGCAGTTCAGTTTGAACTGAGAGACCTATATGTACTTTAAAGGAAAGAGCAAAACTTCTCTTAGCTAAAACTTCTTCTTTCTTTAAATGTATTTAGTACAGGGTCTATAGGGTCTCACTACTTAGATTGGACTCATAGTGATCCTCCTGCTTTCAGCCTTCCAAGCTTATAGGGATGCCCCACCAAGCCCAGTCTCAATCGCTGTCTCAGCGTGGGGGCGGGGCCGGCAGGACAAGACGGGGATCAAACTCTGGTCCCTGCGTCTGCTTAAGCAGGTGCTTTAACGTGCTGAGCTATCTGGCCAGCCCCTTAGCTAAAACTTCCAACCCTAATTCGGCCACTTGCTCGCTGGGCTACCTTGATCATGTTACTTGATTTCTCTGATCCTAGTTTCCTCAGAAGTGAAAAGCAAAAAATGATTACCTCGCAGATTTAGGAACTGAAGTGGTTAAGTGAAATAAAAATAGGCTCTAGTCCACTCCCTGGTGCACAGAAAGTGCTGTCTTCTTGTTTGAAGAAAAGGGGGAAAGAATGTCCGAGGGGGCAGGGAATACCCTCTCAACCATTTGGAACTGAGAGGTCAAGGCCCTTTTCCTTTCTGGCTACTCCAGGCCCTGTTGTGGGTACAGAATGATTGTGATTTGTGAGAACATGTTTTCCTGTGCTGGCAGGTGCTCAGCTCACTGATGTGGGCATAATAGAGGTCCCCAAAGAGCTTGTTGTGTGAGTGAACACCCTTCTCTGCTGAGAGGAAAAGGGTGGGAAGAGGGATTTCTTGGGCACTACCAATCTTCCTGCAGAGGCTTTAGGAAAGCTGTGGCTTGAAGACTTTGAAGAGGCTCGGCAGAAGACTGGGTGGGGAAGACTTAGGGAGGCAGCACACCAGCCAGCTCAAGGAAGGGGGCAAGGACCAGCAAGCAAGGGACTGGCTGCTGCAACTGGGACAGCAACAGGGGCAGAGCTGCCAGGGAGGAGGGGGCTCTCTGAGGAGGAGAAGCTAAGGACATAGGTGGAAGAATTCCCTTAAAATGAGAGCAAAGATTCTAAGAGTGCAAAAAGGGGGGTGGGGAGAGACCAGGAAAGGAAAGGGGTGGAGAGAAAGGGGGAGGAAGAAGTGGGAGGAGGGAAGGCCACAGATACGGATTAAAAAGAGAGTGGAAGAGGAACAACTGACAGGCTCAAGAGCAGATAGCACTAGGCAGTTGAAGAGGCTGCCAGAGTGCGGAGAAGCCAACAGAAATTCCAGGGAGGAGGAGAAGAAGCAGGTAAGGGTGGACTTGAACTTTAAGAGTGAAGCTAGAAGTCAATAGGAAGTGGCCAGAAGAGAGACTTGACTTCAGAGGCCGAATAAAACAAAGCTATGTCTCTGTGTATCTCCCTGTGAGTTTGTCCCTTGCCTCTCTCACTATTTCTTATAATAATAATGTTTGGATATACGAAGGGTAGGACGTTTGGTGAAATGGCAGGTACATGACTTACTTGATTTATAAGGAGCTGAGGAAATCTGAGTAGGGGAACCCTCAGGGCTAGAGTCTGTGCCTGTGGAGTTGTCCTCGCGGAAATCTTAGAAGTGGTCAGGGGTCCATTTCCAAGAACTTTTAGTAAGAGGGAATTAGCCCTTTAAAAAAAAGACACTGTTTTATGATGTTTCCTTTAGGCATGGAATCTTTTCTGAAATGCTTTCTGCAGCATCTAAGGGAGTGTTTTGATTTTTTTTCTTTCCAAGGCATGCTGGATGGTTTAAAAATATTCTCTACTTAGTTTTCTGCAGAGTATCACATCCTCACTGTGCAGTGAGTGGTTACACAGGAGAATCCAGACTGCCTCTCAGAACCGATAAAAGAGACTGACGTGACTCAGACAGGCCGCCCAGGAGACATGGCCCTGAAGGCCTCCCGTCCACCTGGCTGCAGGGTGAGCTCAAAGACACAGGCAGAGAGGTTTCTGTCAGCTCCTCGGTGTCTTCTGAGCATGTGGCAATAAGACCCAGGCTTGGGATGGGGCACTTATGTCGGTCCTCTAGTGGCTTTATGACCTTTGACCCGACACTGCCCTTGCTGGGCCTCAGTTCTCTTATCTAGGGTGTGGAGTAGAGGGTCCCTCTGTGTCCATTCAGTACTAACATTACTGTGAGCTGTGATCTCACAGGCTCAGACAGGACTGGGATGCCCAACACAAGGGTCTCATTCACAGCCTTTTGCAGTTTGCTCCTTTCTTTAGATTTTTTTTTTATTTTATTTTATGTATTTGGTACAGGGTCTCACTGTGCAGCTCAGACTCATAGTGATCCTCTTGTTTTCAGCCTCCCAGTGTGGAAATACAGGTATGTGCCACCATGCCCAGACTCTGTGGCCAGCTCAGCACGCCCAGAGGCAGGGCTGGCGCAGTATGAGGTACTGGGGATTGAACCTCGGTCCCTGCTTTTGCTTAAACAGGCACTTAGTTCACTGAGCTATCTCACTGGCCCTCTTCAGTTTTTCCTTTATTCCCTTTCCCAAGAGGCCACCATAATAAAGGGATTCCTGGTTCTTACTCCTCACACCTCTGGGGTGTATGTTTCCTAAACAGGACTGTGGCACAATATGGTCTGAGTGGCCTGGAAGAGGGAAGGGCAGCATGGAGGCCACCAGGAAGGCACTCAGGAGACCCCAAATTGGAAGAAACTGAGCACAGAAGAGATGATGGCTAGTGCTGGAAGCTGTTTGCACGGCGGTGTGGCTAGAGGCATCCCAGCCTGAGTTTTGTATCTATTGGCCAAATGGCCTCCATCACCTCCACACACTGCCCCCAGAATACCACCCACCCCAGAGGCCGAATGAGAGCTCTCTAGGGACAAGCCTGACCTTTTCTTCCTGTCAGGTTCTGCAGGGCTGCAAAGGTGTTGAGACTCTGCTCCGCCACTTGTTCCTACAGCTTTTTACCTCACTTAGCAGCTGCCATTGACAAGTACCAGTGGCTGCAGTAGGCAGAGTCCCTAGCGGGATGCTCTCTGGCTTATGAGCTAGATCCTTTGAGTCTTCCTCAGACAGATGCAGGACATGCAGAGAGCTACAGTGGCAGCAAAATCAGGCTGCCCTGACTCACCACTGCCTTGTAACTCCAGAGATTACCTTGCTGGGCTCCTAAAATTGTTTGCTGTTCATATCTCCTGGCTGCCCCATTTCTGATCCCTTCTTAGTACTGGCCCATGGTCCTAGGACATGAGACCTAGAGAACAGAGTGTCTTAGCTGGTCAACAAACTGTTTCTTTTGGCAATAAGGAAAATGATACCTAGAAAAGGGGGTGATTTTCTGGTGAAGGCTGAGTCAAGATGACTCAGCTGGGAGACTCTCTTACTCTCACTCATACTTAGAGCTCTTCTTACCCCTGCCCATGGCTGCTTCCCAGGATCTGCTTCTCCCCTAGCCTCTTACTTCTTCCATTTGAGCATTTTTATAATCCTCTCCTTTGGCAGTGACACCCATCTGCTCCTCCTTATCTCTGCTGGCTGCCAGGGGCCACAAGCAGTAGAGGGGTTTAGGCTTTTGCAGCCAGGAGGCTATCACAATGCCTTCTGGTCTTCTTGGTACTTCTGGGCCCCATTTCTGGACACAGTCAATTAAAATAAGACAGAGGCCCGTGTGTATGGGTCAGCCAGGGCAGGAACTGGAAGACCCACAGTCCTCAGAGTTGGATAGATCCAAGGCCAAGCTCTGGCCCTGTGGTGGGAAGGAATTACCCATAGGGGTTTCCCCAGTGTTCTCCTGAACCAGCTCCCATAGGCATCTTCTTGGGCTCAAGAGCTGAGTTGGCCAAAGGGAGAAAAAGCCCATTTTCCTGGAAAGCTTCAGGACTCCTGAAAGAGAAGTTGACTTCCTTTCTATTGTTGGGAATGGCTGGCTGCTGGTGAATGACAGCTTGGTGCCACTTTGTGAATAATTTTTTTCTGACAGCAAACAATGGGCAAGAATTCAGTCAATCCATTCACTTCCGTAAGAAAAAGGAGCTATAGGGTCACAGAACTGGAGGTATTGAAGTAGCACAGGGAGGCTGTAGATATCTAATTCCACTGTAGGGCAAGAGAGTCTGGGCATTTGGTCTCACATTTGGTGGCTGTGGATGTGAGGAAAAGTATTTAATGGCTCCAATCCTCTGTTTTTTCACATGCTAACAAGGTTAATAGGATATTCCTGTAAGGTTTTATAAGGATTAAATAATTTGTTTCTTAAATGCTTGGGATTGAATTCAGGGTCTATGCACATGCTAGGCAAGTGCTAGGTAACTCTGGAGATAACTTGCTGGAGAATGTCTCTTGGGGATGTAGTGTCACTGAGCGCCACTGAGCTACATCCCCAACTTAGTATTTTTTAAAAATGGCTATCACTTAGCAAATACAATCCTGGTTACCTTGTCCTCAGCCCACGATTCTTTGAATTGCATCATATTTGATATAAAGTCCTTTCTAGAGAGAAAGCTAGCCACCACATAATTCTGAGAAGGTAATACTTGACTTTTATGACTATAGAATTTTTTCTGGGACTACTTTTGGTAACCTCTAAGCTGGAAGCCAGAAAATCTAGATTTATTTCTAGACTCTGCCAGTAACTTGCTATACTGTCATAACTGGACAAGCACAAACTACCCAGATGCTCTAACTTAGAGTTGGAAGGGTCTCTGCAACCATCCTGTCCAACTGCTTTGTTGACACTAAGGTTCAGAGAGGTCCCAAGAATGTCTCTTGTGCAAAGCCACAAAGATAGAAGTAGAACCAGAAAGACGCTCACTCATGAAATGGTAGCTCTGCATTTTCTTCTCCAACTCCTTACCTTTTTTGTTTTGTTTTTGGTAATGGGGATTGAGCCCAGAGCCTTACACTTGCTAGGTGGGTACTCTACCACTGAGCTTCATCCTCAGCTCTACATTGCATTTTTACAGGACTCTTGCAGAACCTCATTATAGAAACTGCACTGTGCAGAACTTGGAACTGCACAATAAAGACCTTTTCAAAAGGGCCCAGGTTGTTAGAGGTCAAGATGTCCCTACCCTTGAGATCACAGAGTACATAACTTCCTCTTTCTCTTTCAAAGAGAATTGAACCTATTTCCAACTTCTTTTGTGGTTATGCCTTTGGCTTTTGATCAGATTTAAAAGTGCCACAGCTCCTCAGAGAGGAATAATACCATGACATATGCTTAGGCTAGAAGCTTGAATTGAAATATGTTGGGAGTAGGCTGGCCCTGTGGCTGGTGAGAGGGGCTGATCCAAGCAGGCCCTGCACCGCCCTGCACTGCCCTGCTTCTCCAGCACTGACCAGAAGGTCTTCAGGCCTAGTGAACCAACTAATCTGTGACAAACAAATGTCCCTCTCATTGCTCATTTTTATCTATAGTCACCTTTCTGTATCTGGTGACACATGTTGATCCTTGCCAGGTCATGAACCAGCCTGTCACGCTCTGAAAATCTGCATCCAGCTGGATAGTTGGATTATGTCTGAAAGTTTTTATAGGAAAAGTCAGACCCCAGGTAGTAACATTATGGAGTGTCTTCTATGCACCGGATACTCTTCTAGGCACTTCCATATATTCACGTATTCTTTAATTCCCATGAATATCCAGTCCCACTTTTTTCAGATGAGTTAGAAAATGAGAGGTTAAATGATTTGCCTAAGGTCACACAACCTGAGAACATTGCCAGCAGGGTCTGTGCTCCTCTGTCCCCATGAGAGCCACCAATGACAATACTGTTTCTTTTGTTCTTGCTAATAATATGACATCAATGGGACACCAGAGCCTGCTGTTTGGGCAGCTGAGAACCCAGGGCTAGACACTGCTGCAGCCAAGAGCACTTACTGGCTAAAAAAGGAAATAACTTTCTATATGTGAGTTCTGGCCAAATGGTAGCAGATGCTGGAGAGTCTGGGAATCCTGACCACTGGGGACTGCAGCCCCCAATGTAATGATTAGCTGGAAGAACAGCCTATGTAACCATCAGCCAGCAAGCAACAGAAGCTAAAAGGAGAGACCCTGGGCCTCTCAAGGGACTAGGTAAAGTAAGAAAAGCCCTGCTCACCAGCTGAAATTGCACTTCTGCTTACAGTCATCATAATCTATCTGTCCTAGGACCTTTAATTTTTCATTTCCTTTCCAGAGAAATAAAGAACATGGGCCCAAGTGAACCATATTCAAGCCTGTTTTGTAGCATTTGCTTGTTGTGAGACTTTGTACAAACAACCTAACCTCTAAGACTCAGTTTTCCCTTCTGTGATATGGGACAATACTGCCTCCATAGCAGAGTTAAAGGCAGGGTGAGAAGGTATAGTTGTGAAGTGCTTTGTATGTGGAAAACAATCAACTTGGTGCTCTGTCCTTACTATTTCTGAACTTCTCTGGGCCTGTCTTAT